GGTCGTCGGTGTCACAGTCATAATCATTGATCGTTAATCCACTCACCGCAATCACCGTCGCTCGAGAGTCAAAGTCATTGTCAATCGCGCAATTGTCGGTGTCAATGTCAACGTTATCATCGTGTCGTTGCCTCGATCTCTGTCTCTCCTTCTCTCGCTGTTCCGTCGTAACCGTTATTGTAATACCACTAACGTTATCGTCGCGACTATGTTTATTCTTTTCTCTTTGTTTTTTAAGTCGGATCGTGTCGTTTCTATTTCGTCTCACCTTTCGAGATATTATCGATCTTGCAATTCTGTGCATACTCGTTATCAGGGAATTCTCTTCACTTTCAATCATGTCACCGACAACATTGTCACTATCGTTGCAATAATATTTTGTCCCACACTATTAATCCAGTCATTAGCGTTTATAATACCGTTTATAATAATAACAAACGGCTTGTAATCATCGTTTTACCGATGAATACCGTCAACGTCTTTGTCTTTGTCGTCGATATTCTCTTCATCGCGTTCGTCATCCCGATTATCACGGCTTTTACATTCGTATTTTTGCTATAAACAATATCTTAATTTCTCTCTCTTCGCGATTAATTTAATCAGACTCGTATAGAAAGTTTTTCGTAATTTCTTTTTATCAAAATGTAAAGCAAATACAGTTGTTTATGAAGTAATAAATTATATTAATATTTCTGTAAATTTTACGCAATATCAATCTTGTCATTATTAAACAGCATATTAATAAATAATGGTAAACAACAATTCTACATAAAAATGTACAAAGTGCTGATTTGTGACATAAAAAGTGCTGACAATTATTGCAAAATTTTCGCGATATTGTCGGAAAGTAGGACGACATAAACTGGAAATGTCAAACGTTTGCGATATTACGGACAATATTAATAATCACAATTAATAAACGCTTCTTCCGTGTATCGACGTTACTCTAATAAGTTTGCTCGATTATATTTCAGAAAAAATAACCGTTGAAAATAAGAGAATATCAAATAAAAAGTCGAAATGGAAGAAATATACGATGGCGAAACGCAATACTCTCTAATCGAATACGATGACAATGGTAACAATCGCGATGCTCCGTGTTTCAAAGGGCTCCAACCGCGAAACTCGTGCAGCGTCTCTCGACTCTCGTTCTGCGTTTACTTTCTTTCAAACGCAATTAGAATAACACAGTGCAAGCAGTTCCAAAGTTCCAGCGAACGATCGTGAGCGATGAAGTTAGTGTTTCATGATCACCAGATACACATCCATGTCGATGCATATTATTTACAGCGAAATAGAGCGTAGTATCTTATATATAAATATATACATATGTACGCGTGTGTGTGAATATGCGCGAGAGAGTGTATGGAAGTATGTGCGAGCTGTGTACACAGATGCGATATCTGTTTCTAATGAGGTGATGCGATGAAGCGTAATGTCATCTATATTCCATGATTAATGACATTTTCGTAGCCTTGAGCGAAAGAGCTAACAACAGAGAAGCTCTTTCTTTCCGCGCGATATTTAGGCCGTGAGATAGCGCCTGTTCATTAGAAATAACATTTTATTTTTAATTATCTCCAACATTCTTTATCGCTAAGCGATTTATACGCTAGATGCCGCGTCAACAGTGACTACGTTGTCGCGTTTTCTTAAATGTAATTACTATTTCGCGGATTATTACAGGAACAATGCGATTTATCCGTATCAAAAGGAATGCAGTTATACATTTGTGAAACGTGAGTTTCGGCAAAACGTAATGCTCTGTAATCTCTTTGTTCACGTCGAGCTAAACTATACATAATCGATGAAACGTCATAGGATACAGTATCAAATAACATTTGATTAGTAACTAATCTAGTCTGCTAAATAGTCAATTTGCACTTGTAACGGCAATCTTGTTTTCGCGATATATTTACTATCGAGAAACATTGAGAGACAAAAGATCAAAATAAAATAGCTCAACCTCGTTTTCCAATCATGCATAAATTAGGAAAAATAACAGAAATCTCATGCATCTCATTAGATAAACATATCTCAATGACTATTAATACTATTTTTCTTCTTGAACATCACCGCATTTATCAGTTATAAAAAAAAAACATGAAAAAAAGAACGGAAACCAAATAGAGAATTGAGGTCGGCAGATATAATTTTAGCGTGTTCAATTTTTGGTTTATTGACATAACATACTTGGCCGTTGATTAGGACATTTTCATTACTACAAGTACAAATAAGTCTGGATTGTATTTTTACGATTGTCGTCTATATCGAAATTTAGACTATGCAAAATTGTATCAGTTCACATCGCTCCTTGGATTAAACTCGGAGAGATATTCTACGAATATCTGTTCGTATCTACGAAAATCTTGTTCTATAAAATCAATTATTACTAACATAAGCTCATTTTAGACGATCTATAATTCGCGACAGAATTCGGGTGGGTTTAAATTATACTGTCAAAGTACTGATTTATAAGTAAGGAATTAGCACCGACGATTTCTTTGGTCTTAACTGAGGTAATTCCGGATGAAGTAAACGACTAGTAAAGTTCCGCTCCAATACTGTTGAGATACGATTACATTACGTTAGCGGTAAAGAGTGTGTATGTGTATACTGGAAACGCATTTATACGAAACAGGTATATCCGGTCTTTTTCAACTATAAAATTCTTTTCCCTCGGGGCGATCTCCAAGGGCTGCGTCATATGCGTTCTGCATTATAATGTCGATTCTTCTAGTCGTCCTTGTTCGACGACGCGATGCGAGGACGACGCGAGAAACTTGTCCTAGGTCGCTACCGCCGGTCAATATGTGACTTCGCACTGGACGTCGTGCTCCTTGCGATTCTTTCTCGCGTGATACTGGCTCTTGTGACTAACCAGACTATTTCTGGATTTATAGCTCCTCCCGCATAGATCGCAGGACAGGGATTGCGGCACGTAGAAATGCGTGTCGGCCAAGTGCCTCTGCAGAGACCAAGCGCGCGAGAAGTTCTTTCGACAGTATTTGCAGTAAGTGCTGTTCGGCTGTTTCTGATCCTGTTCGTTGTGCGCGGTGTCCTGATACTTGGATTGCAGGGGATCGCCTCGCGGCCGCAGCCATCGCAGCTCCGGCGCCGCGTCGTTATTCGACGATCTTCCCGACATTTCATGCGGCTGCTTTCGTTCCTGCTGAGCATCGCCGCGATCCTCGTCGCGCATCATCGAGTCGAGATCCGCGTGCTCCTCGTCCGTCTGACTCGACAGCAGGCAGGACTCGAACTCGTCCATCCTTGGCGAGATGGGCTCCGATTTCAGCACGATCTCCATTTGATCGTTAATGTTGTCTAAGAGATCGATTATGGGCAGCTCTTGATGCTGCGACTGCATCGCCGTCTCGCCACACCGATTTGCGCTTGTACTTTGGTTCGATTGCTGTGTTTGTCGTTGGTATTCGATGTTGATAGCGGACTGCCAACCCCCGTCCTCCTCGGCGACCTCCTGGTCTGCAACCAAAGAGGAGGGGGCTGAGTCCAACCGTATTCACGCGTCATCATTTAGTACCATAACGAGCAACTTTCAGTACGAAAAACGGATATTTATTTTCTTTTTCTCTTTCTCTCTCTCTTTCTCTCTCTCATACACACATACTTTCTCTCTCTTTCTTTCTCAGCATCGTAACATCATATGTGCGATTTTAAATATTCTTAATGCAAAATCGAAGACAAAATGTAGAGCGACATCTTAGTGTTCGTAGCATTGTGAGACTGCGAGATCTGATAAATTGCGACTGAAAATATTTCATCTAAATCTACTGTCGAAGAATATGTAGATAGAATATGAAATAGTTACAGAATTATTTATAATTCAACTGAAACATCAGTTATAATCCTACTTGCAACGTGCAACAGGAAAGAAAATTTTATCGGAACTGTGACAGAAAAATCTGTAAATTTGCCTTCGACAGCAAAGTCATGGGATTAGAAAATAGGAAAATGCATGTAATTGCTGTGGATAATTTTGAAACTCATGAAACTATTGATGCAATAATAATACAGGATCGACGTCTGCATCACTTCTTATGACGGCTTTTATTCGCCATTTATTTCAACTCCACGATTTTGCCACAAACAATCTTAAAGATCAGACGTTACAATTCCAATTAATATTTCTTTCTCGCTATACACTGCAAGGAGCAGTAAAAAACACCGCGTGTTATTAACTCATGGCTGACTGATCGAAAAAGCGATCCTTGTAAGATCCGGTCTTCTTCAAGTCCATCGCGGGAGAGCCTGTACATCGGCGCCTTAATCGAACGAAATATCGATAGAACGTCAACGATACATCGTCAGTGTCGAAGCACGGCATAGTTCGCGACGCTTCTTTGTGGGATTTTATTCAGCCGGTTACCCATAGCAACGCTACCCCACGTCGGTTCCTCCGCTCTCCGCTTCGCCCTTTCTCTTCGTGTTTCGCGCCCCTCGTGATCCTGCCGTCGCGTACGCGCTCGCGCGCGCGCGCCTCCCGGACCCCCGCATTCTCCCCGAACGTTTCCCCTCGCGATACAACCGAGAAGAAGATATATACGTAGGATGTGTATTATTCTTAATAACCCCTGTATGCCGTTACGCTGTATTATGACTGATGTTGACTCTGAACGCGGAGAGAGAAAGAGAGAGAGAGAGAAAGAGAGCCGCTACGATCGATAGGTTGCCCCGCTTCAGGTAAGCCGAGGACGCAGGACGTCGCGACGAAGAATCCAGTTCGTTTGAGAATTTTAAATTACTTTCGCGCATTCCATCAAAGATTTTGCTAGCCGAGTCCGCCTAATTGCGACGTCGATAATTATCACGCGTATGATTGAACGCGCGACAATCGATATAGCCGACTTCCGGACTTATTGTCGGTTTAGAATAACTATATTGCGCATTTCAATATTATGCGCTACCTACGGAAATAACTACATATTATCATTTAAAGCACGTACGTCTAACCATTTTTTTATTTTTTTTCATTTCAGAGTTTCACACGTTTGAAAATGCAGCTTCTGTAAAACGCGTCTTCGAAGATATCGTAAAACGAGAAGCAACCCGTTTCTCGCAATCTCGCTACCCCCAGCAACGGGTGTTCCGCAATAGGTAAGCATTATTCCAATAGACAAGCGACCCCTTTCTCTACGCTTGCTCGAGAAACCGAGAGAGGATGTCGGGCTGCAGAGTACGCGCCTGCCGCGCGCATTCTCTCTTTCCAAACCCGTTCGGACAACGGAGGGGGGACACGTTCTTTTTTTTTTTTACGATGCGCGAGAGACACATCTCACAAAGCGACTTGAAGTTTTCTCATGTAGATTGTGCATCGCTATTCTTAGCGAGGAGCGCGTTGGTTTCTCTAACAGGCGCAGATACAGTGCCGCGATACAAGCCAGTTGCACTTCTCGCTCTCTTTCTTGCTTTCTTCCTCTCGCCGCGCCTTCGCGCTAATCTTGCGCAGATTATGCGAACGGCGAGAGACTTGAAGAAATATAATGAAGTGATTTAAGGTGAATTTGGTTACATAAACGTCTCATTAAATTCTATCATTTCGGTAATAATACGCGTGATCGTTCAAAGCGCGTACGAGGTCAATCGGGGTAATAGCGATACTGGAATATTTTTTAATGATAAATCCAATAATACGATTTTGTAAAATCGTTAAAAGCGATAATATTTATTTAATAAATATTGTGAAGTAAGAATTACAATAACCTATTATATTGATAAAGATGCTGCTGAAGAATTCTATATAAAGATGAGGTTTTAACTAAAATATCGTTATCTTACACGCACGCGGAAATCAGACATTAGCTGGCGAAAGTAATGCCTCAACTGTCTCCTTATCCATTTCAATAATCTCATTTTTCTGTTCGACTAGGTATGCAATATTAGCGATAAATATCAAAAAAAAAAAAAAACGTCATTGTAACCTGCGATATGTAAACAGATTGCACCGCATATATATACATTTCCAATATATATGTTTTCAAAAAATCCCAGATAAATAAACACACAAGTATCTGAATAGATAATCACTGATAACATCAAGGAAAACGTGCTCGTCGATGTTGCAATCGTCACTTTTTCGTTTTGCGGCTACAACGCATTGTGCCATAGATTATGGCGTGGCGTCGTTCTTTTTACAGCGAGATTATTACGATCGATACGTCCTAATCAATCTATCTATTATGCAGAGGTAAAAAAGACCAATTTAAAAATCTCATCGCAAGATCGCGAGCTAACAACAACGAACGATACGGAGCAAAAGTGCAATCGTAGCGGTCCCTGCCCACCCTCCCACCCTTCTTCTTTCTTTGTTCCCCACTCGATCGCCTTGCCGCTCGCTTCTAACTGCTCGTCTGCCGAATTCACTTGTCCCTCCCCCTCACTCGCCTGTCTTCCGCCCGCGCACCTCCGCTCACCGGTACCCACACTGTTGCGCAGATCTCGAGGTCACCTCAAGTTCATCATCGATAATAGCGCAGGCGAAAACAAGCAGCTAGACCTGGGCGTCCCCGATAAGTACGTACTACAGATAAAAAATTCCGTTGGATTTGGTTCGGAGCGAACTTTCATTTGGCCTTGGCGGGCGCTACGCGTCCATCCAAGAATACGTACCATTAATACCGGCAGGGGTTCCCTAATCCGAGCTCGCGCGTGTGCGACATCCCGATGGTCACGTGAGCTTTGAGAATTCGCCGAGGAAGGAACGTCCGGTCGGTCGGGCACGAGTGAATACCCTTTTGATGAACGCGATCCCGAATGATTTATTTTGATTCCGAGAAAACAGACTCCGGAAAGTGCACGCGATTTCCGGAGATTCAACCCTTCCCGACCCGCGAGACCTTTTCCACGCGAGATAAAACGCGCTGCGTCATTACACAGTCCGCTCGTTACACGTCGATATTAATCCAGTTATCGAATATTAAAAGTTGCAATTGAAAACTGCAATATGTTGACAGAAGTTAAAACGTTTGTCATCTACACAGGCTGTACAAACGCGCAAAGTTTATACCGCGCACAAAGTGCGTTAGAAGTTAGTGATTTCCAAATGGAATGATTCCAAAGCCGGGAGGGATTAAATGATTTTTGTAATAACTGTTGTAAATTTGTTAGGATTTAGAAAAAAACATAATATTTTAAATTTCCAATATCGCAATGTTTCGGAATTAACAAGTTGTAAATCTATTCATCAATTTTACACATACGTATATACAAATTTTAAATATTGAAATATAGATATTTTCAAGGGATTAACAAGCGATAACTTAATCATCCGATAGCATATTGAGCGAAATCATCGAATTCGTCGATTACAAACTCGATTTAGTTGCACGGAAATTTTTCTCACGTGGAATCCTAATTGTACCATTAAAATTGACTCGCCTGCATCGACAATACACTCCGTCAACATTAGTTAACAAGCAGCAGTTAATTATGCATGACTGTGAGCAATAATGCACAGCCCATAAATTATTTGAATCAAGATTGCAACGGAATTTCTGCTATCAATCTTCGATGTATAGGTATTGTCTGTCAAATATATACGCAACGACCTGCCAGCGGCACCGCTTCCGGCGCATCGTGTTAAAAAGTGATCGACTGTCTTTTTTCACACGTGACATACGTGTTTACAAGTAACAGGATGAATGAACGGACGAATTTATAGACCTATGCAAAAAAATGAGAGTCACTGCGTCAACACAATCGTAGGCTACCGAAGCGGCAACAGAGCGATGGAGAATGATGGGATGGCAAAGGGGGAAAAGATAGTGCGAAGAGGGGCGAGGTATAGAGAAAGAGGGAAGAGGCGCTTCTGCTATTGGGTAAACAGACCTACACGAGCGAGACTCATGTCATCTCGGCAGAAGCTGACAAAATTTTGCATGTCATTTATTCACATTCGCGATAGATGGCGAATATGTCCGGATATACGCGCTGCTCTCCATGACTTTCGGACGTTACGCAACCAAAATTCCTCCTCGTCGGCAGCGAGTTTAAAAGCCGAACGCATCGTGTGAATGATGGTCGTAAAACGAAGGACAAAAAAAAGCGAAGAAAAAGAATCGGCGGACTACGAGTCGGGGTATTTTTACTAGATCTATTTAAAAAATTAACAAAATTGTGGCCGTTTAGAAATTGGCAAAATAATGCAAATATATATGTAGATATCTTAAATCGCAAACTTGCAAACTTTAGACCGCAATTGCTAGAAATAAAATTAAAATAACAGCCATCTGTCAAACTTCCACTACACAAATTCTGAATTCTAAGAGCGACATTTTTTTTCTATAGAATTGGCAACCTTGTATAGAATTGGTAATCATCTACCTTTCCTGTTCTATTAAAAATACGAGCCGAAAATAAACCGTAGATCCTACAAGAAACGCTGGTTTACCTTGTCCATTGATACGCGACTATCTATTTTATTCTCGCTTAAAGTCGACACGCCGAAAAGGCGGGCTGCGCTCGAAGTGCAAGAGCATTTCAAGATTGCCGATACGAGAGGGCATCGACTATCTACTGTGAAAAAAAAGAAAAAAAAAAAGACCGGCGAAAATACGGTCCACTTTCTCTTTCTCTCTTTTTCTGTGCAGTGCTAAAAAGCGATAGAACAAATATTTGGTTAGTACCGGTGCATCGAGACTTTGTGCCACGCCTCCTGATACACAAACGCAGAAAGAAGATAAACCACGCTCGAATTCAACCTCGCAATCGATATTTTTGTGCCGCGCTAAGCTCCGCGACAGATTACCACCTATCTACGTCTCTCTACGCGAAGAGTTGCAGAGCGCCTGCCGAAAAGAAGGAAAATAATCGGAACACCACTCGATATGCAATCGCGATGCAGCACGCCACTTTAAGCGCATTTTCGCGGAATAAATTGTATCGCGCGGACGAGAGCGCGTGCGGGAGAAAATCAGGCGAAAGAATGTACACGGGCGCGCACGATGCCTTTCCCTCTCCCCGGACTTTTATAGCTGGCTTTTTAGTTGTGTTCCTTGAACAGTGCTATTTTGGAAGTTAATATATTTTACTTTTTACTTTAAACACATACGAATTCTCGCTGAACTCAGACTCTCATACATAAGCTCCATCGCCGCTTAGCATCTCAAAATATCGTCTCTCGCGAAATAAAGTTTTTCTCGAGATATACGAAAGGATAAACTTAGATAAACAAAAATAAATTTTAAAAGTAAGAAATAGAATTTCCATTATTTCGTGGTCTACTTAAGTTGAGTAGAGCTCTATTGTATGTGGAACTTTGAATTCAAGATAAAATCTGAATTAAAGCTACAATAAAATAATAAAACAATATAAATAAAAACGTCGCTTTATCGCGAAATCTCCGACAATTATTGTCGTAGTAATTGCGATAAAGTGAGACGGAAAGATTTTTAGTTCAACTTAATATTTCGGTTAGATCAAAGATTGCATAAGAAACGCGATAAAGCACATAACTAATTAATGAAAGAACTGTCGTGTTTGCGAAAAATTCTTCGGTCTAAAAATATTTCTAGATTCGATTCTCGAGTATATCGTGCCGAATTAAATATATAATCCGAAACAGCATTCAATTCAATGATGGATATTGGTTAACGGCATGCGAGAGAAGGCGTCACGAAAGCAGCGAGTCCGACCGTGAATCGCGTTGAAACTTTTCAAATTACGCCAAGACCGCATCGTTATGATTTGTTTCACTATTAAGATTTCTTCCAGCATCTACTTAGCAACAATCAGATATAATGACGAACATCGTGCATCATTTATTATAAGAGAATTACGACTTTAAAAAATTATCTATTGCCGAATAATCTAATCTATTAAAGCTTTTCGGCAGAGTCGTAAATGTGAAGTGATTACAGTTACATAATGACAGATAGTAAAATAATTAATAGAGACGAAATTTCACGCTATTATATAACAATTTATCAAGCGTGTTTCAAAAGTCTCTGGCGCGACCTTTATTTATTTTTACGACTAATCTCTTAAATATTTCAAATGAAATTACGACATATATATATATATGGTTAATGCAGCTAATTTTTTTTCTGGCGATGTCTCTATATGCCTTTTTCATCAGAAGAGTTATTAATATTACTAGATTAGGCTTTATAAGCCTAATAAATAATCCTAGACCTTCGTAAGAGATGCGGTCACGGCGGAACACTCTTGAAGACATCGATTTTGCACAAGGCTGTTCTCTCTCCTTCTCTCTCTCTCTCTCGGCTAGCAATATCACATAAATTTGACGGGCGCGGACGCGGGCGCCGTGTCGTTTCGCAAGTCATTTTTCTCCGAAACTAGTAGAGAGGAAAAAAAAGAAGGAATTATATCACTCTAGCTGAGGTCGCGATTGACGACACGCGGCGACTACACGCATATCGTAGTTCTGCCGTCGTTGCGTCTCGCGCGCGCGCGCAACTGTCGAGATATAATTTAATGTATCTAATGATTCGCGAAGAGTGAGTGGCAGAAACGTGAGTGGCGTACCAAGGTCGTCGTATTTTTAGTTAGGCCAATGTTTAGTTGGCCACGTTCGTTCGTCGGAGATAGAGGGACCTTGAATTTCGCGGATAACATCTGCAGCCTTATCGACGCGGTCTCCAGTTCCAGCCCCCTCCCCCCCTCCGTCTCCCGATCCCCGTTCAGCCCCCGCTCCCCCCCCCCTCCCCCGGGCCGACGTTCCCGTGATAAACTTTTCAGTACTAACCTAGTATAAACCAGCCGTTCAAATATTAATCGACAATGCGAGGCCGCACCTGAATTTGCACAACCGACCATGATCGGCTGATTGCGGCGCATTTGTCAAACTTCTTCTCCCCTCCCCCCAAGGATACTAGCAAAAACGAAATATATGCGCAATTGAAGGAAAAAAAAACAAAAAAAAAACAGACGCGTCAGCCCGTCGCGGCCGATGATGACGACCGCCGCCGTCAACTTTGGCGAACATTCTCGTCGCGCGCCAGCTGAGGACTCGCGAAGGCGTGAAAATGATCGGTCGGATATATTTTTTTTCGAGAACCGTTTCTTAATGCACGACACACACACACACACACACACACGCACACAAGCGCGCGCGAGTACTTACATACATTACGTACATATATGCATACGCTCACGTGCACACGCAGCGGCCGCCGAAATCCGCTTGTGGAAGGTCACGCACGTCCAAGTGCGCCATTCCTCGTTCTCGTAAATATTCACGATTATGTTTAGTGAGGAGGTCAACTCCGTATCACCTTAACGATGTAATCGCATCATTACGTTGACGTAAGCAACCAGCTTTGCTTCTCAAGCGATGATTCTCTCGATAGTGCGATGATTCTCGATAGAGCTCGCTTTATCGAGATAAGCACTTTTCTTCTCTTTTTATCGTAGTTAGTTGTTATATATTCAAAATTGTATAGTTACATTATAGCTTAGAATAATTTTCTCGTATTTTGTTTTTTTTTTTTTTCTTACTTTCCGTTAAACTATTATAGATAATTTCATCAATCATAAAGTGCGTGTGTGCACAATGTTTTGCATGTAGAAAAAAAATAGTTAACCTATCACATCCTCTTTTGCAATATTATATATGCATATGCGTATGCGCATGTGAAAAAAAAAGTGAGATTCTGCAACAAAGTTGCAAAAAATGTAATTTTGACAGTTTTATCGCTTCATCGACCGCAATCGTACTGCATCTTTTTTTCTCCATTGTACCTACACATGTAAAATAATGGGCATCAACGACGACGTTGTATCGGCAATATCACGCCGCGGATATTGATTCTATTGCAAAACGTTAACGCGGGAGGACAACAACACACCGATACGCAACCCAACGTTCAATCGAGCGGTGCAAGCACGACAACGATCGATTATCGGGAAATCGGCATACTTATATTAACGATACACTCAAAGCATCGGCGTTGAAATCGTTAAAAAAAGAATCGATAAATGTGATACGCGTTGATACAACATCGACGATTCATCGCCGCGTATCGTTAGCCCCTTTTAAGCTCGATGCATTCTCCTGTGCATCGCACAGACGCGGCGCATTCGGTCGGGGTAACGATCTCGCGACACCGCCAAATATTGCACAGTGATGCCAAACTGATCTCAGTTTCATTTCTTTACTCCAATTGCGCGATTGTGTACGTCGTTGAGTCGATATTAATAACGGTGGTTCTCGATGTTCGAGCGAATGTATCTGCTGCGGCCAGCGTGCATTTCATTTCTTTTTTTTTTTTCTTTTTTTTTCACGCAAGTCGATAAAATTGTCGTTAACCGAAGGCGACGCTCTGCCCACGTAACTGCGCTCCGTTCAACAACTTTGATTATGAAAAACAAATTGTGGATGTATACAGGGTGTCCCGGAAAGAAATCGCTTCGAGCGAATCAGTCGATTCTGAGATTAATTTAATTGTTCGTACGATTGAAACTAGTATTGTATTTTCTAAAGTAAATATTTTGCTGTGTAAAATTATATATGAAATTTCATAATATAAAGACAAACATATATTTATACATAATAGCTCGATGTAATATGACTTTTCTGGCAATTTCGGTTTGTATTTTGGTTGCCCACATAAAGTTACAATTACAACTAAAAATTTGCTATTTTCGAAGATATTCTATGTCATAATAATAACAGTAATACGAGAATGTTGTGCAATAATAACGCGCCGATGTGGAAAGCACGGGTACAATTTTGATATAGGCGCCCCGTTCTATTTAAATCATCATAACTTTGGCTGTACGTTTATATAAATATGCCGTTCGAAAGCGCTTGAATAATATATTCCGAAATACTTGCACATTTCTCCTGGGGCACCCTGTACCGATATCTCTTTTCGAAGTATGACACACATAAGCAGATAAATGAAAAGTATGCGCGTCTACATTTTGATACGACACACAAACACGTCGATCTTGTTGTGTATCTCCCAAGTATCTCTGAAGTACGTATATTTAGCACATCGAACGCAATATATGACGTTTCCAATGCATAACATACGTGTAACGTAATAAAGCACACTTGCGAAACATGCCACTGTGGATTTATCTCTTATATGGAATCGAGATAAACCGCGTAATTAATTCAATCGCACGTATTTGTGCATTTGAGCGTAGCGCAAATGGTGCGCTCGGTGGTTTAACGGGCGTAAGTTACAGTCGGCGAGCGTGCACCCGCGCCGAATTTTGCAAGAATCATCGCGATAGAGTTTCGAGAATTGTACTTTCGAGCTCGCTGTAAAATCACGTTTTACGAGCTCGAGCTGTATAGCTGGTCGCGAAGTCGCGCAGAGCCGTGCAAGTTGCTCCGCGTGGTATATGATTTTTATGATATGCAAAATGTATAGGCGAATCGGTAAATGGTGCCGTATAGTAAATGATGATATCGATGATTTTGGAACGCATGCCAATTAGAAGAGATTTAATAATCTTCCAAGCAGATAGTAGTGCTCTTTCACCGCAACCAGTAAAACATTTTCATTCTCGTAATTTGTGATTTATGGTTAGTTTGATATAACTGCACAAGTCCTGAGTTATTTTTATTAGAGCGAACCGCTACATCGCGTACGATCGAGGTCTGCCGCGATGTATCGACTGTCAGTGGAAGAATAATAAAGTATAGCGCAGAGTGCCCTTAAAAAAATCAAAAGAACGCACATTGACGTTTCTACGGTCGCGTGATAAACAAGTGCCACATATACAGCGGGAGCGTGATATCGATTATCTCGACTTCTCAAGCAATTCTAATGATTTCAAAAGGGCATAGAGCTGAAATAGTATCGTGTTTTTCTTACCTTGCGAAGTGCCCGCTAGGTCCGGTGTTTGCAAGCCATGGCCCAATCCTGGAAATTTCACTATCGTCACACGTAGCAACGGCGGTGCTATCGCGCGCAGAAACTTAACAACGGCCTGTACGCAATTTCACAATTAAAGTAAAACGCGTCGGTGCTGACCAAGGTAATGCGAGTGCAACAGAAAGTCAACGATAAGTCGGCTACACGCGAATACACCGATGCAACACCGTGTCCGAGACTCCAGCTGCACAAATTACGTTCGCGAAAACGGTGCTTTAAACAAAATATAATAATCGCCGCGGTGAAGAAGCCCGTGTGTGTCTAACTTTTTAAAATGCGAAATAAAATAGAAAAGTGCTCAACTCAATGGAAGAAGCGGCACTCGACTCTTAATCCTATGAAATGATACGAAGAACCATGTGTGCGCTGGAGCAACGAATCGCGTATACGCTTTTGACCCTTAAGTGCGAAACAAATATGCGATGTAATATGTTTTCCACGCAAAAAAACATCTAGTTTCATTCCACAGTTCACTTGAAACTGCGGAAAAGGGGTTGAAAAATGATATTAAAATTCTGGCGCACTTGAGAGTCAAGAACGTGAGAGCAGCCGGAAGCCGAGCTGCCGAAATTGGTCTGTGCGTACAGGCCCACGCGGAATCCGCGCTCTCCACGTACCTGACAGCGGCGTGTGATCGGTGGTGAGTGCCGCCATGCTGAAGTTGAAGCTGCCGGGCGTCGATGTGAAGAGCTTGCTTTCCGGTAGGAAGTTCTGCGCGGACGTGTGCTCCGGCTCGGGCTCGTGCTCGTTGCTGCTCGCGGACGCGGGCGGCCGGTCCGACGCCGCGGCGCCGGAATCCGACGAGTCCTCGTTATTCCCTGCGTTACCGCCACCCCCGCCGCCGCCGTTGCCGCCGGTCAGCTCCAGCGGCTCGCACTTTATATTGTCCTCGACGAGGCTGTTCTCGTCGTGCACCCCATTGCCCTCCACCTTCGTCGACAGGTGATTGTTCTTGACCATTGAGAAGTCCGTGGGCGTGGCGTCGTTGTTGTTGAGCGGCGGCGACGGCACTCGCGGTCTCTTCGCCGATTCATCGTGCGGGTCCGGGGTGCGTCTTTCGTTGCGACGTATCTGGGCTCGGCGCAGTAGCTGCTGTACCGTTGTAGGCGTCGGGGTCACAGGTGTAGGCGGTGATCCGCCGCGAGGAAAAGTCTCCTCCAACTTCTCGTGGAACGGCAGGTGGTTACCGCCGGACGCCAATGCACGGACATGGGACAGCTGGAAACGAAAAACGGGGACGGGAACGGTAGAATTAATTCTACGATGTGCACACAGACGCACACGTACACACACGTGAATGAGACGGCCGTAATTATTGAGAACGCGATATGCCACCCGGATTTGCTGTTTAATTGATCGATAAATCGTCTCCGCCGAAATAATAGTTGGAGTAAATTGAAGAGTTGCGCAATGACCGCGATACGTATCGATATTCGATACTATACATTACAATGTGAATACGATTTTCGGTATCGACCGCATCTCTTTATCTTTGTTTGCTTGACCTATGACAATTACGAATTCGAATCAAGATAGACGCTTTCTGCATCGAGATAACACAAAAGCCAAAGTAATGTCTATTGGTGATAATATTACAAGATACCGAGAGAGCTTTCGAGAGAGATACGCGCGGATCGCAAACGTTATATAGGCGAGTATGTATCTGTATGTGACGCGCCGCGCGCGCGAGCGCACGAATACAGTTGTGTACGATGAGAAAATTTTATGTCAAAAATTACTATGATACAGCAGCGGACTATAAGAGGAATTTCAAGTTTAAATACTGCAGTTCAATTATGCGAAAAACGTAGTACAAATTTTTATAATTCTCTCATGCCGTAACTTTGGGTATAAAATTTTTTCTGCCCACGTATATACACGAAATTCACGCTTACACGCGGTTTTACCAAGGATCGAAATCGTACAATTGCGGTGTGTTCAATTTCGATCGCTGTAGGCACGAAAAGATGAAACCTTACGCCAGCTGTTGCGCCTCCATTGTCGCACGTAAATGCAGAAATCATCGTTTTCACGTGCCTGCAGCACCGAGAGCCCCCCCGAATACACCGGAATTACATCGCTTTCAATCCGCGTAATTGCGCCCCGAACGTACCTCGTCTCTGTCGGTTTGTTCGGCCTGTTGCGTGAGGCCCGATACCCTGAGGACCTCTGCGGTCTTTAGAAAACTACTAAGAGAACGCTGGTGCACGTTCACCTCGCCGTGATAAATAAACTCCACTAAGGCATGCAAGTCGCTGAACGCCACATCCTGGAGCACTATTACTGGGTGCTTGCACGGCGTGCTCTGAAACAGTGCAATGTATTGCGCATAACTATTAGCAATGGCGATTAATTTTTCGCCAGCCGGCGATATAGAATGTCTATTATTGTTCCTTATCCAAGGAATATTCACAACTTTATTTTAAACAAATAACTTTGATCTAATGGTTTTTTTATTCATATTTACATCTGGAGAGAAAATCGTTTTTTTCATCAAGAACGACGAAAATGATTCTTTTCATAAGCAATATTTTTTTCTTTCGCAAGCTTTTCGAGATCCGCAATAATTTCAAATTCTCAACTCAAACAATTTCAGAGGGTGAAGTCTTTGAAATGTCAACACGTGTGACGTGCTTTAAAATTATTTTTGTTTACTCGACAAATGTGCACTGTACTCGGCGAAAACCGAATGGGAAATAGGCTTGTGAACATTCCGTGTTAGCGACGAAAGAAACGAGCCTTACCTTGAGCAATTCTCGAAAGTACGGACTACAGGCGGAGAGAACGACGCGGTGTGCTTTCAGGCTTTTGCCGTCGCACGCCAGCGTCACGTCCACAAAGTCCTCATCGTCCCGCAGATTTTCAAACGCCGAGGTTATGCTGCTCTGGTAATTATTCCATCGCAGACAGAAATGTTGTGTATCTACCATCGTTGGTTTCTATTCACCTGCAATCAGAAGTAACGCCTGCTGCCACCGATTAAACGAAAAACTTAACGTTTCACGTTATTAACGCCAGTCGCGGAAAGTAATTGTTAATTTCGGCTACGATTCGCGGACTAGTGCACAGCGCGCACCGATAAGCTTGCAGATAATTTTAGATAAGTCCACTTTCGACATTCGAGAATATAATTGCAACGTATACGCATATTCGGCTGATATCAAATCGCAATTGCATATGTACGGCATTCTTGATAAATTAGAATTGATGAAAAAATTGTGAGAATATGCGAAAGTCGCGCGGAGAGAAAACGCACAGTAATACGACAGAAATTTATTCTATTCTATTCTATTCTGTTTAATTACTAGACTAATTTACATGTACTCAAGAACATGGTCGAAAGGTCGACCGAAACGTATACGAAGAATACAGAATAAAGAAGATTAAAAATAAGCATCTAAATCTCTTTCTCCAATTTGTGAGAAATTTATTCCTCCGTTATGTAATACGTATATAATTTATCTATGATATTTATTTATTTCAATGACGAAAAAATGTACCGAGAGAGTATAAATTTTCATATACGTATAACTCAAAATTGTTAACAAGACAAGAAAGTTTTCTCTTAAGCATGCAAATTTATTGCGAATAATTCAAAATTGTATTATGTAACATTAAGATTTGTCGATTTCTTGAGAAGATTGGAATTTTATAGAAATAAATTAATTATGCAAAAACATTAAGAGTTACGAAAAACATGTGACACACGGATACAAATAGAAATGTTTCTTCATGTTCATTCAAATGCGTAAGAAATAATCTAAAAATTATGTTGCGAAAAAAAGTTTGAAAAAAATCGCAATAGTGACATTAATGCGACTTGGAAATTTCGAAAGAGAAGTGAAATAATTGCGTGGATAGATAAACTTACCACGACGGGAGAAAGAGACACAAGCGTTTATTTGCCCAATTGTGCAAAAGGCGGCGATTACGGGAATAAAATCTAAGAGGCACTGTATGCGATCCAGGAAAATTAGGTCGTCAAGCTGGAGCCAATCCAGTGCGTTGATTAAATAATTCTCCGCTACTTATAAAAGCGAGAGCACTAAATGTGCGCTGATAGTGTTATCTTAGCAAAATGATAAAAAAAAAAGATCTTAAAACAAATTTACAGAGCTCATCTTTTTCTCTTTTTTTCCTTTTTTTGCATAAAAGCGTCAGAGAGAAAGAGAAAGAGAGAGAGAGAGAGAGAGAGAGAGAGAGAGAGAGAGAGAGAGAGAGAGAGAGAGAGAGAGAGAGAGAGAGAGAGAGAGAGAGAGAGAGAGAGAGGATCGCACCAGGATAAACGGCGAGACATTTAATGACAAAGCATTTTTATATTTTGTGTCTACTAGCAAAATTGAAAACGATAAAGCTATCGCCGCCGCGTTTTATTGGTTTAAAACTAACAAAACCTGTGTAACAGATTCGCAAATTCATTTATCCCAAATATCATATACGTATCGTGTATCGATAACGTGAATTCCGACGATTCAAACTTGGTCCCGTCTCGTATTATTTTTTTTTTTTTTGTTGGTCGCCGCGCAATGAAGTAAACGAAAATAAAATAAACAATCTGGAGAGAATTGGCAGGAAGAAACGCTTGTATCTCCTTTTTTTCCTAACAATACATTCTAATAATATAGAAATGGTTTTTTCAAGCTCCCGCTATCATATCCTGCTAAATTTACGTGTGACGTACACGAGAGATAACTTCGCCACTGAACATTGTTTGATAACAGAAAAAACGACGGGCTCTCGCATTCGAATAAAACGTAAGGCAAAAAAAAAAAAAATTAACTATCGCTATTCGCGCGCTTTATTGCCGGCGGCGCGAACGAGTAACGCCGTTGCTATTTGCACAACTTTGCACATAGCCGGTCGCGGGCCATGAATAATCGCAAATGAGAGATTACGCCGGCGAAGAATTTCGTGCCGGATTTTTGGAATTACATGTGTCACATATTATTACGTATCGCACTGTTCGAAATGCCGGCAGCCGTCGGAAGCACACGTACACACGCGATCGATCAATGGATCCTTGAGATCCTGAATACGATACCTTCTCGCACACACACGAGTGAACAGCTCTCGCACGATATATATGTATGGTTTTTAAGGCACGCTCGATCGGCAACGAGAATCACAGTTTGCCAACGGACGCGTTATCGCGAGGGAACACCTATCGGCCGTCATGCCGCGTAAGCTAATGACCGAAACAATGAACCGAACACGACGGCGGGACGACTGCGTGCCGTTTATCTCTCGTTGCGGCACGCCACCGCGCGAGAAAAAAAAAGCCGGAGCCAACACTGAACACTTTGACTGGCGGCGAAAAAAATCCGTACCGCGGATCCACGACACACAGCCGGTTCCTCTCGCGGCGCGCGAGAGATCGAGTGTCTACACGATCGATCTGGCAATCCTGCGTGACACCTGCGTGACCAGCGTGTATGATAACGCGTGAGAGAGTTCGGCGAGAGTGGGACGAATTCTTGGCCGTGTGCGTATCTCGGAAATTGGATTCGTGAGAGCGTTTGCGCGTCGCGAGCACGAGCGTACGAGGACGCGAGGATATCGGTAAATACACTTCAAATAAATACTAAACGATTTCGTCGTTCCTTCCTTCCTGCGCGTGGATCATCCTCCTACCCCTCCGCTCCCCCCCATCGCGCCAACACCAACCACCACCACCACCCCCACGCCGTCGCCGCCGCCCGCCCGAACTGTCGGCCACACCGAAAGTGATCGCGATCAAACGAGGACGGGGCGAAGCGCGAGCGGCGGACGGAGAGGGACAGATAGATAGACGGAAACGGGATGCAGGAGCGAGAAAGATCGAGACACAAGATCGAGCGCGCCGCGACTTTCGGACTTGCCGCGCGCACGGAGATCCGCGACTCGTTTGCGCACGAGGATAAATCCGGACGTCCGTGCGAGATGTACGGAGCGAATTAGGCCGACGACGATGGTATATCGTCCGAGTCACATGCCGCTCGCAGTATAAAAGGGAGGATCGCGCGACCGAGCGAGAAGAAAGGCGGCTGCCCTATCTACAACCAGAGAACCGGCGCGGTGCGGAAGCGGAGGCGGCGGCGGCGGCGGCGGCGGCGGCGGCGATGACGGCGACGGCGATGACGACGACGATGACGCGCGCGGAATCTTCTGCACCTTGACTGGGGGCGCCGCGAGCGAGCAGTCACCGCAGCAGACTCCTTCCCCGTCGCATGCCGTGTGCGAGCGAAACCGACCAACCCCTAAAACGTCACGTCACGACTGTGCGACTCCGTCGCGGAGAAGGCGCCGCGCTTTTCACCCTCCGCGTCTCGCGGGGGAGGCCGGTACGTCGCGAGGCCGCACGAAAACGTACGAAAAGCCGGCGATCGCCGCCGTTTACGTGAACGGGGCGCGTAGAGCGCGGGAGAGGGTGAGAGCGCGGTGACGGGGGCGGGAGGAACGAAGGAGAGAAAATTCGCGTGGGTAGGGGGGAGGGGGGGGGCGGGAGAGACGAGGAGAGATAACGGAGGATACAGGGAAAGGATGGGCGAGAGAGAGAGAGAGAGAGAGAAAGACTTAACGGCGGGCATATTGAATGACATGCGGACTGAGAAAAAGATGGACGGGAGATTTGACGAAAATGGAAGGGATTTTTTTTTTCTTACAGCACTTGAGATACACCTCTGATCGATAATACGCATTTAGAAAAGCGTTTAGATGAACGGTACGCGAACGGGGCCGAGAAAAGACGGAAAGAAAGATGAACAGCGCGGCGAGTGTCCAATGACAGATTCTGCGAGCGTCGCGTGTGTGATAAGACGGAGACGTGTGTGTACGTGTGCTGAACGACACGCAAAATGAGACAGAAAACGGACGGTTAATTGAAGAAGAGGGGAAGAGAGATAGATAGAGAGAGAAGCGAAGCGTCGTAATCCGTTTCTTATGTTCGAGTAATGAATCGGCAAGGTCTGGCGGCGAACAATAGACGCGCAAACGTCGCGACTGCATAAAATATCGCGGATTGAAATTGTATAATTTCGCGAAAGTTAAAATTGACTCTTTGATACAAAAAAATTTTGATAGTATTAATGTATAATTTCCGCTGTAGTTTAATTTTCAGCCAGAAATGCATGCGGAACAATTGCTCATTATGCTATTGTTCACATTTCCATTGTCGTTTCCACAAACAGGACATTTCGATGCATTTGCATTAAAGTTTAAGTTTATCGGTGTGTTGTAAATTGCGTCGATGTGTTACAAATCTTATAAACTACAACAATAGAGCATTGCTGCGATAAAAAAATGTCAATTGATCAGATTTCTCTTTACAAAACTTTCCGAGAATAACCGTGTTCGAGTTACCGATTAAACGCTTCAGTTCAGTGTCATGTGTGCTGATCGCAGCACGCGATGAGCTTAATTCAAAGAGCGAAACCGATGCAATTTCAATAAATTCGATTTTTCATGCTATAGCTATAAAAAAATATATCTTCCGTCAGTCGCTGTATTTATTACATATTGCAAATATAAAAATCATTTTGGCATCAAAATTATCGGCTGCCGACCGCGATAGCATAAGTCTAAAATAAACCTTTCACTCGCAGTTTCACTCGCAATTTTTATACGTCAATTTTAAAATTTAAATTTTATTTTAAAAAATAAAAAAGATTTATTCGCGTATCTAGGCGACAGAAAATATCATGATTCGATTCAAATGTCATGTCTTCAAGGTTTGAAATCGCGAAGAATGTAAAAATACCGCGCGTAAAAAAGAATCAGAAAAAATACTGTGAAAAATTTCTGAATACCGTTGCATATTTATTATCACGCGTTCAGTATGAAAACAAAATTCTAAACTATTCGTAGCGAGGTGTGAAATTCACTTTCAAGGCAACGCGCTCGTTTACGCAGCTCAATTACCTGTGTGGGATCTATCAGAGAATCGCTCTCACGTGCGTCGCCTCTTTCCGGTGCCGCCGATTTCAAACCACCATCCTCTCCGAAGCTTCTGGTTCTCTCTGCGGTCTGGCGGATCTTCCGGTCCTTTTCCCCCGCACCGGCTGTCACTGTGCGGCACGCGTCTCGCAGTTAAATATCATCGTTCACCGACGACGCGCGGTGCCAATTGACCGAATCCCGCGGCGGTGGCCTCGTTATCGCCGTTATGCCTGAAAACCATCCGTTTCTTTCGTGCTCTGTGTGCTCTCCGTGAATCTTATGTGCGAGAGAAAGAGAGGGGGAGAGTGAGTGAGTGAGAGAGAGAGAGAGAAAAAAAAAGAGATCCTGTCGCGCGCGTTTTAACCAATCTACCCC